TTTCGAGACTAACTTAATATACGTAAAGTTCATAAGTTCCTTTCCGAATTCATAACATTTAATGATCAAATTTTTTTCTAGATAATTAGATTCTATAGGCTGAAATGCTTCTTATCACCAACCCAGATGACATAATAATAATTTTTGTGCTAATAACAAAATTTTATATCGTGCATTTTTGTTTAAAGATGTCACATTCTAAGAAAGTTTGAGTATTTAAAACATGAAACACAAAGTAAGTCAAGTTGTTTATATATTTCGCCATTCTGTGTAATGAAATCTGTACTTCGATTTAAGTTAATAAAAAATGTATCTATTTCACCTTCAAAGCGTATCTACTCTACACAGAGAGTTAAATTAAAAAGTGTAATAAAATTATGTATACGAGAGGTATCAACTACTCTAAGAGATTTAAACAGTTTTTGGAAACATAGGAAACATAACAATTATGCATTATATGTGAAAAAATTATATTTGAAATAGTTTCAGCGATTGAAATATAATTTTTTCACATATAATGAATTCTCTATACTCGGCGCCCAATTATTGTCAAACTATTCGTTCTAACCTTGACGAATATTCGTATAAATAACAATTATGTTTTGATCATTTTGTAAAATAACATAAAAAACTCAAATACTAAAATTTAACTGATCGTAATCTTTTAAGTGATGCAACATATTCGACAAATGAGGCAAAATGACTGATATGCAAGATAGCAAAATAGATCCTTGAAATTTCAGGTAGTTAATTTTACTGAAAAATCTAGACAAACCAAGGATATGGTTATTCTTGCTTCATTTAAATGCTAAAAAATGTGAATTTTTATATTTACGAAGTACAAACTATTTTTATACAGTGCTTCTGACTATTTTGACTGAATTTTTGTTCTTTTTTACATATATAGGATTAAGTAAAGGCAGTAGATACTTTTATTTTGATTACACATCTGACAAAATGTTAACAACACGATTCCTGGTTAACTAATCATAAAGCCTTTCTTCCAATCTCATCTTTAAAAGGATTATAGGTATGATAACTGCAGAACTGACTCCGCCTGTAGCTCCTGCGGGGGCTACTGCCGGTCCCGAGCCCGGATAAAGGAGGAGTGTTGGGCATAGGGTTAGCGAACCCATCCCGTAGAAAAAAAACTCGTTAAAAGAACGACAGGCAGAAAAAAATTATTTAAACCATTTAAACTCTTCCCTCTGAGTTGAAGGAAGAATTATGATGCCTCATGATGAAAGCCAAGTTCATTCGGAAGTCATGAGGCCGACGCACCTTCTAACAACCAGAGCGACAATTTTTATAGGTACATGGAACGTTCGCACAATGTGGGAGACCGGAAGAGTCTTCCAAATTGCTGCAGAAATGAGGAAGTACAACCTGTAGGTGCTTGGCATCAGTGAGACGCATTGGACGCAGGTTGGACAACAACAAATAGCTTTAGGGGAGCTCCTGTTATACTCCAGTCATGAAGAAGAAAATGCCCTACACAAAAGGAGTTGCATTGATGCTGTCCAAAAAAGCACAAAATGCACTTATAGGATGGGAATCACATGGTTCAAGGATCATCTAAGCCTCCTTCGAAACAAAGAAAGAGAGAATTACAATGAACGTCATCCAATGCCATGCGCTTACCGACGACTACAAAGAAGACGTTAAAGATAAATTCTACAATAGGCTGCAGTCAATCGTCGAGAAGAACCCAACAAAGGACCTGACCATTCTGATGGGAGATTTCAATGCCAAGGTTGGAATGGACAACACTGGATACAAAGACGTCATGGGACAACATGGACTGGGAGGAAGGAACGAAAACGGTGAGAGATTTGCAAACCTATGTGCCTTCAATAAACTGGTCATAGGCAGAACTATATTCCCACACAAATGCATTCACAAAACCATATGGACTTCATCGGACCACACTATGCACAACCAAATTGACCATATCTGCATCAACAAAAGGTTCAAGAGGACTGTGGAGGATGTGAGAACCAGGAAAGGAGCTGATATAGCATCAGATCATCACTTACTGGTCGCCAAGATGAAATTAAAACTTAAGAAGCACTGGACAACTGGGCGGACATCACAAAAGTTTAATACGGCTTTTCTTTCGGATACTGACAATCTCATCAAGTTCAAGATAGCCCTCAACAACAAGTCGCAGGCCTTTCATTAGCTACTCAATGAGAGGGAACTACCATGGAGAGCAAATGGAAAGGGATAAAAGAGGCAATCATTTCAACATGTCAAGAGGTTCTGGGCCACAAGCGCTCCACCACAATGAATGGATCACTGTTGGTACACTGGATAAGATTGAAGAAGGGAGAAACAAGAAGACAGCAATCAATATCAGCCGAACAAGAGCGGAAAAAGCCAAGGCACAAGCCGAATATACAGAAGTAAACAAGCAAGTGAAGAGGAGCATCAGAACTGACCAAATCTCAACTCTACGGATAATTGTGGAATAGTTAATTGGATGGAATGCATCACTCTACATCAACTTCATTGACTACGAGAAAGTATTTGATAGTGTGAACAGGACAACACCATTGAGGCTTCTTCAACAATACGGTGTACCTGAGAAGATAGTCAATATCATACAGAATTCCTATGACGAATTAAACTGTCAAATCGTTCGAGGTAAAGACCGGTGTTAGGCATGGTTGCTTACTCTCACCCTTTCTCGTTCTCCTGGTGATCGACTGGATCATGAAGACGTCAACGTCTGGAGAGAAGCACGGGATACAATAAACAGCTAGGATGAAGCTGGACGATTTGGACTTCGCGGATGATCTGGCTCTTCTATCACACACGCAACAACAAATGCAGGAGAAAACGACCAGTGTAGCAGCAGCCTCATCAGCAATAGGTCTCAATATAAACAAAGGGAAAAGCAAGACTCTCCGACACAATACAATATGCACCAATCAAATTACACTTGACGGAGAAGCTTTGGAGGATGTGAAAACCTTTACATATCTGGGCAGCATCATTGATGAACACGGTGGATCAGATGCAGATGTGAGGGCGAGGATCGGCAAAGCAAGAGCAGCATATCTGCAACTGAAGAACATCTGGAACTCAAAACAGCTCTCAACCAACACCAAGATCAGAATTTTCAATACAAATGTCAAAACAGTTCTACTGTATGGGGCGGAAACCTGGAGAACTACGAAGGCCATCATCCAGAAGATATAGATGTTTATTAACAATTTTCTACGCAAGACACTTCGGATCCGATGGCCAGACACTATCAGCAACAAGTTACTGTGGGAGACAACAAACCAGATTCCAACCAGCGTGGGAAGAAATCAGGAAGAAGCGCTGGAAGTGGATAGGACACACATTGAAGAAATCACCCAACTGCGTCACAAGGCAAGTCCTCAAGTGGAGTCTTGAAGGTCAAAGGAAAAGAGGAAGACCAAAGAACACATTACGCCGAGAAATGGAGACATACATGAGAAGAATGAACAAAAGTTGGATAGAACTAGAAAGGAAGGCCCAGGACAGAGTGGGTTGGAGAATGTTGGTCGGCGATCTATGCTCCGTTGGGAATAACATGCGTAAGTTGTAAAACTCTGAAGAAATATAATTTTCTTGAAAACGTTAGTGGTGTTTGATTATTCAGTAGTAAATAAATAGTTGATGTTTCTTTATATTAGTGTCAAAGCCTGAAGCTCAAAACTTTCAAAATGTTCTCCCAAAGACAGAAATTCTTTATGGTGTATCATGTTATAATCCATACTGAGAATATAACAGCAAAACATTGATAAACAGAGCGCTATCTACTACTTTTATTTTTGCTTATATTGGTCAGCTTTCAAAAATATTCATGATAAAATCTGTTTTTATAATTAACGCAATGATCGATAATGTTTAAATCATGGAGCCATAACTTATTAAATATCCACACTGCGTTTGTTATTAATTAGTCTGGTTTAACACGGTAAATAGTATATGATATTTACTGCAGCGTTTATTGTGGATATGGCCTCGCTGAAAATCAAGATCCCTTGTTTACATGAAAATTAAATGGTTCACAAAACGTTTCGGTCGTAAATCGTTAGAGAGCAAACAGGAATATAAACTGGGAAAGGGGCCATAGATAAAACCAAATATGTTTGGGTAAACATCTGTCATAAAGTCCTTATTAATTGTTGTCAATAGAATGATGAACACATACTGCATGTGCGATCATGAATATTTGGTTGTTTATCTCATTCTTAAATCCATAAACTTCCGCTTTATTCATGTGTGAAAATAAACCACACGATTCTTAACTTCAGTAGATAAAAACGATTTATTTAAATTCAATTAAACAGTTAACTGTCGGAATGAATTCTACTATAATCCAAATTTGTATTTTATGCTTGTTGTTAATTCTGGATCACATTAGCTATTTTACATTATCAACATTATTATACGAGGTAGCTCATAAAAACGAATCATGAACCATTGTCATGAACATTTACACTCACTTTATAAAGATACCCCTGAACAGAAACTTTTGATCATTAACATCATTCAAATAGTCACTTACATTTGACGTTTGTTTTTAATACCTTTCTATTCATCGTGTGCATGAAGGCTTCACCGTTTGAGGTAAAAACGTGTTAACCAACTGAAACCCAAAACAAATTCAGCACAACTAATTTAAATACAATGGTTGTATTCTGATATTCATAAGATTGGTGAGTGACGCTTATATGAAGTTTCCTTACTCAGCTTTAAAAGTGGCAACATAAAATAATTAAAGAAGTATGTTTTCTATTATCGTTTGCAATACATTACAAAATTCATTTAACGATGAACATAACCTTGATTACTGATATCACAATTAGGCTGTTGAGAGGAACTAAAAATGAAGTGACCGCAAAAGGACAGCTCAAAATGATTTTAAGTGGAAATCCAGTATTACGAGTTGGTTTTTTAAACACATTAACCAGATAAATGATAGCAATCAGTAGGCAAAATCGAGTGTTATATATGCTTACCTTGGTGTATGACTTGCAGCTGACCAGGATAATCAGGCTAAACATATTGTATAAGATGGAAAAAAGCAGGTGGATTATTTTAAGTGAACTATAAAAAATATATATATCTGCAAACGTGTGATAAGTTCTATATGCTATTTATTCATATTTCGAATTAATTAAGAATTTGGCGACATTTATTATGTCTATAACATATAAGCTACTGAATATCTAATCTCATTTAAAAGTAAATAATCGAATTTTAGCACAAACATCCAAATAATTTTGAGAATATTGGAGCAAACAAAAAAACTGATCGGGGTTTAGAGAGAATAAGGTTTTATTAGATTCAAGCCAATGTTTCCAGGAATTTAAAAATATAAAAATAGTAGCCTGAAAAATAATTAGTTGATGGATACTAAATGATTCATTTATTGTCGTTGAGAAGTTTATTTACATTTACATGTAATCCTTGGTTAAGTTTTGAACACGAGTAGAACGCAAGTTACAATACTGATTAATTAAAATTAAGTTATATCAGTCATTTTGTTCAGTTTTAAAGTATTTGACGAGTTAATAGTTAGTCTAAACTTACTAAGGACAACCTGTTGTAAAATCAAACTGCTTGTCATATAAGAGTAGCATTATGGCTGCTTATGAAGAAACTAGTATTCAGAGCTAAAAGTGAGAGAAAAGCGTATTAACTGATGCCAAATGAAATGATCGGGTTCTAGAATTTCTTCACTAATAGCTTTTAAGATATGAAAGTATTGGGGAATCACATAGAAAATATAAACTATGCTGCAAGATTATCAGTTACATTGATTTTAGTAACATAAACATAAGTAACGTAAAATTAGATGTTGTGTAGTCGCATACAATATTGGCCAAAGTAAATGTGAGTCAAACGAATGATTACAGGCATCAGAGTAAAGGAAGATAAATGATTACGAAGTCGAATGTCAATGGAAACGCAAAGTCGTTAAACAAACTCAAGTCGGTGCTTTGTTACATTAAATATGACATTTCGTGAACTGCAAAGTTGAGACATTTAGTTGGTATATTTAAATTGCTTCAAATGATATGTGTCGTTTTTAAGACCGGAAATTCTGATAAAATTGAGTTTAGTGATGGATTCTCTGTTTGATGTATAATACTGTAACACCGTACTAACTACTGATGACTCTTAGGAGATGACTCATTTGTCGTAGCTAAGATAATGTATTAATATATCTCTAAGCTTTGGATTTACAATCCAAACAAGTTGTGTTTTTTTGGGATCAAAAGTGTGCATTGGGACAGAATCATCAAGTACCAGGGATAAGTCATCCACAATTGATATGCCTATTACCGAGTTTATCCAGCACACAGTTGCTACGAAGTAAATATATGTGCAACTTCTTCAACCTCATATTATAAGGAAATCGGGAGAGGAGAAACCAGCTGAAAACTTTAATTTACGAAAGATTTAAATGGTCATCACTCTACTGAAATTCTTTCCTCGTAAAAATCAAGTGTCGTGAGACGTCTTTGTTTAAAATAAAGGAGAACTGGGGTAAGGTACGTTGAGATTAGGAGTTTGATTTTATTGCTAGAAACTGCATCCCTAAGATGGGGGTTACGCGTTGTTAAACAGTTAGTGCATACAAAATACCAAATATGTCCAATAAATTATCTTTTCAAAATAAAACTTATTAAATATCATTTTAAGTTAAACTAACTCAGTGATTCTACAAGTGGCTTTATGAAGTCCAAAAATATTGACTTTTGATGAATAAAAATTGATAAACTCTTATAAGTTTTGGGTCAGATGTTCAAAAAAACAAATTAAGTTATCAATGTTGAATTGTTATGTATCATATCTCCCAGGTATTTCGTAACAAACCAATACTGTATTTATTTGTGGGGTCTTGTGGTATAAATGGTTTAATGTTTAGAGAAACTTTTCTTCTAAAACATGTGAACGATGGATAACAAAATAACCAGTAATACATCAAGGTTGTTTCTATCAAATAATACCATGTATGCCAAACTTATTCATTTGCCTTTTTCCAAAAATAACTATCAGCCGAAATCAAAATATTGTCGAGGTACTTAAGGGCAGGCACATCAACTTGCTTTCTTACGTATTTACACATCAACTTCATTTAATATGTCAAGATGATGCTATTTTGTAACTTGTACGAAGCATTGTTTTAAAACAAATTATCTAATACCGTTTAATAATCATAATTTATTTTCTTACCCAAGTTTCTTTAAACTGCTTCAACATTGGTTGGTTAAGCAAAACAACTGCACTAAGGTGAGAAAACAATTAAACGGATAATCAATGCAGAGCAATTAAACTTACAAACTTCGGTCAACTAAATATGTCATCAGCTTCAGATATACCTCATGAGTTCTATCCATATATACATCAGTCCCGGTGCAAATTGAAAGGACAGGTATACTTTTGTCTAGCACTTCAAAACAATGACAAAAGTAAAACGAATTACGAATAACATATGAATAATTATTTTAATTATTCTTGCTTCACCAATATAAAATATAACCACATGTATGGTGAAAATTTGTCATCTTCCATCATATACAAATAATATTCAATAACTAGTGTAGGTCTGAAAATAAGAAACACCAATGATGAGTTTTCTAAAATAATAAACTCAACTACCGAGGCACTCAAAACCACAAAATAATTTACTAGTGTTTCTGTATTTCGGTCAAAGCCAGATTACAAAACAGGGATATTATACATGTTGCCTGAAATTTGACACTAAATTGTAGTTTATAAAAGATCGAAATCAGCTTATATTCTTGCTCCTCTTTGGAAATCTGTTTTAATTTGGGGTTTCTACAGAAGCCACTAATAACTGAACCTATTGTATATGATCCAGATTTTCCAAATGCAGTATCTTTTTAACCATACTTATTTTTCGGCTTAGATTTTAGGCTTGTTATGGTTGACATAATTTTAGTTATTAATTGTTAAATTGACCAGTTTAAAGCAAGACGACAAGAATGCCTTTATGCATCATTTTTTGAATTAAGGCCTATGGAAATCGGGATGTGACTAAGAATCGTCTTCAGCAGCGAATATTTTTAACCTTGTGTGAGCTGATGCTCAATAGTAGACTTGAGGTTGCCCCAAATACCTTCACAATCTGAAATTTTACCACTGTGCTATTCGAGGCATGACTGACTAAAACCTTTGTCTACTACTTCCTGTCAACTGCAACTTATCACTTAACATTTAAATATAGTCTACTCTGTGATAGGTTACTTAGACTAGTAAACATATTGCAACAATGTCAATAAAATTTGTTCAGCACTGAAAATATAAAATAATGTGGTACTGACCACTACTCTGTGGTTGATTAAATGTAGAAACGTTTCATGAGATTAAAGAGTGAGATAAGAGAATGCACTAACTAAACGATCAAGTAAGCCAACGCGATCTCCGGTAGCTAACATGTGTCTTGATGAAAATCTTTTGTATCCAGAAAATGCTTACAGATGATTTTTTTAAGGCTGTCTTACGAATAACTTACAACCAACCAATAAGTAGGCTGAACTCACACCAAATTCACAAGTCTTGCAATCAGCATCCAACTTTAATTTGATAATTATCAAAACGATTAGTAAGTATCGTATGTCCATGCTTATATATATAACCTTCTTAACAACCTTATGGAATAAGAAATTCGAAAAATTTACAAAGCTGTCCAGAATGAATAAAATGAGTGTAAAATAATAAATAAAATAGTCTAGATTTTTAGTAAAAATGAGTATCTTATTGGCAAGCCTTTTGCCAGTTATCCAAAGTATGTACGATTAGTTTACATATGCAAAACAAACAGCACTACTAATTTTGGCCTTTTTCGAGATTTCAATGCTCCGGCTTACTGACTGTTAGAAATTCAATAAACCAACAATCACTAAATTACCGTCCAATATTAAAAGCAAACAATGTAACATTGTAAAACTTTAGACCTGAGTTTAACAGACTTATCCGATTGAATAATATTATTATGGGTTGTTGAAAGAGTTATGTATAACACTCGGTCATGTATTATTCGTCCCATATTTCAATGAATGTAAGATCTTGACGGCATTTTAGTCCACTTTATTAGAGCCATCAAGTTTTGGACTGCCTTTTGAGGTGCGTTAAGAAACGGTTTAGGGATACTTTGAACATAAGTTTGACTTCTAATTACATACTCAGTATAGCTTTGGGTAATTACCCTTCAAGGAACTTTTATCTTGTGTAACACATTTCGCTTTTTTTCTACTGTTTATGTAGGGATAGAAATGATCTACAGTTTTTAAATGTTCACAAAACTGCTCTTATATCTTTTACAAATATTTATAAGCACGATTAACAATTATTTTTGACGACTTATTGATTTCTACTTTTCCCTAGTTAAAATTAATATGCATTGGATAGCCTTGACCAAACATTTTGGCGTCGCAAAAAAATTAAAGTCATAACCACTGATGATCTTTTAGTATAATTCCATTCAACATTATTGGGCATGTGATTTGATTAATTAGGACATAGAATCTCGTCGGTTGATCGTCTAAAATGATTTAATGCCCAGAAATAAGGATGATAATAAGATTTATGTATTTGGTTAGAAAAGTTTTAGAACTTGGTAAAGTCTCTCATAAAGTCACTGTAAGTTAGGTTAACTCATGATCATGACTTGAGGGACATCATATGCTGTTCTATAACGTCTAAAAGGTGTGTAAAGAAATTTAAAGGATAGATACAGCTATCTGAATACTGAGGAGCTGATGAAACTATTTTGAGTGTATTGCACTGCTTTATACTATCAAATGATAGGCGTGACAAAGATCCCAACCTCAAAGAAGATTTAAACAGTGATAACAAAGTTGGATTTAAAAGTACATAGTGTTGTACAACTAATCAGAGTCAACCAAATCTTTCCCAGCTATAATGCGGAAGATTGCCAAGTGATCTAAGTATCAGGTGCAAAATGCCAAATAATGATTTGGGATTCAAAACGTGTCTTACCTATTTTCATTTTGAGATGAAAAACATATAGTTGTATGCAAAGAGACTATGAAAGTTCGGAGCCAATTATTTCACATCAGACTAACAAATGCTGGAAGGATCTTTTAGGTGAGATAACTTTTTTATAACCGTGAGGCAGTAGAACTTTCTATAGAATCAGCTTAAAAACATTGTACTGTTAAAAAGATTTCCGTTGGTAAGATTAATAAGAACAATCCACGTTTTTGTGCTAACATATTGAGAGGCACTTTAATCAAATACATGTAGATACTCTAGATTAAAGCAATAAATAAGCTATATAGCTCAGAGATTTTTATAAAGTCAAGCACTCGGTTAAAAGAATCAAAAATCAAGGTGCGTCATCCATTTTTAAAGTATACTGAAATTGTTTCTAAATATTAAACGGTACTAAGATGACGAATGAACTGTTGAAACAGTTTAGGCGGCGGACTGTTAGAAAAAGCCCTACATGGTTCGCAAGTTTATACACAAGTCGAAAATACTTTTTCTAGTCGCTCGATACTTTGTGCATTACTGAATCTTAAAACACAGATAAAAATGGATGATTGGAAAAACAAGGGAAACTTACGACTGATAAGACGCGAGCACTGACGTAAATGAAGAGCAATCACTAACTTAGGATTTGCGGTTGATTGATTGAAGTTTTCTATATCTTTTAAGGAACTTTCACAGTTGATGTTAACAATTTTTATAAATTCAGCTTCTAAATATAGTTCAAAGATCTCTCTAAACCATAAGCATAATAATCAGACAACTAGAACTGATTCACCTTATGTATAAAGCAGTACTCAAATTCCCTGATCCGAAAGTCTGTTTGGAGAGAATTAAACAGTACATAGCTGCAGTGAGCGTAAACAAATTATAGTTTTGATAGATTTTATAACCTATGAACTAAAACAAGGTACGAATGTCCAATTACTTCTAATTTGATAATATTAACTAAAGACAATCAAAGGGGTTAAACACACATTTCATTGACTGAAAACTCTCTGGAGTTTCCATAAAACGTTCAGGATTGTGTACCAAGGGATAGTAGATGTTTCATATATCTTCATTACTTAAGTTGTATTAATGTTTCCCAGTTTGTCTTTCGGTTTGCAAAAAACTCTCGCTAAAGTAAACTGTTGGTAATATTTTCTCAATCATTTTCCAGGAATAACATATTATCTGAGAAAAGTTCCAGTGATAGTGTATAAATTAACTGACAAGGAGATAGGTTGGATATCTGGGTAGAATAGCTTTGGGAAGAACAAAAGACAGAGGATTTATGAGAAACTTGAAACAGTTAAGAAAACGATTGCATGAAAAAAACAGTTTTTCAAAACGAAAGTGAGTGTTGTAAGCCTATAAAAGTTGATGTTGGTAATAACTTAGTTGATCTTGAGGATGCAACGGATGTTCTAATTTTACAACTAGCTACCAGTAGCACCTTCTATATTCGATCGTTCCCAGTCAGATAGAAATCAGAAGTCAGATGAGAAGAGACAGGAAAGATATATTTGATTCGTTACCAATATATCGAGGACCTTTTCTATAAGCTGGCTAATGAAACGTAGGAGCTGTGTCCCACGCCGAGTTGAAACGTGATCTGGTGCGGATGCATGACCGAAAGCCTTCAGCTAAACAAGTCCACTTAAACAACGTGGTCAGCATCCAATGTCGAACACTTGATGAGCTATTGATTTTGGGGAATTATTTACAGCTACAATCTAATTTCCTTCTCGTTATAAGATATTCAGACTATTTGACGAATAAAATATGGTATGTTTCAGATTTAAGACAATGACTTTGATGTTCTCATACTTTAAAAGGCGTTTATTTGTTTCTCTACTAGATTTCATTACAAACTTCGCTCAATAAATATACTGCACCGTAATATTGATCAGAAAATACTACTCCAACTTCTCGAACCGATTTTTGTACTGAACCATAGAGTTTAAGGCGCATGTCTGAGAATCTGTTTATTCTGATAGTTTGACTAGATTTATGGATGGAAAACTTTATTGTTCTTAACGCATAAGCATATTTGTTTATCTGTTTATTGACTTGGAACCGAAGAACGTTATTTGAGTGTATGTATTGTGAGAAAAGCATGTTGATGAATGCATCTTAACACTGAAACTGAATCTGGACGTGTTGAAATGTTGGCCGATAGTCCGTATTCGATCGATATCCCAACAATTACCTCTTTGCATGTTCAAAGATGCTGCAGAGATTGAGAGATTTATAACACGTTTACACGTAGCACCATTATAATCAAAGTGTAATAACAGTCAGATCGGAAGTCGGATATGAGGGGGGTTCAAAGATACATTTAGAAGGCTATTGATATGTCCGAAAGCTTTGCCTCAAGATAGCTACCAGTTGCGAGAGATGCGTGACACGAAATATTCGCTGGTTATTCGGAGTGAATGCGTGACTGAGTGCCTTCAGATAGGATGTGTTCAGTAAAGAACTAGTAACTCTGCGGATTTATCTACCGTTACACACCTGATTGTTCATTAGCAATGACATTATTGTTGATACAGCATGGACATCTTTATTTGAACATTGTACTGGTTTTACACTTACCTTGGGAGCAATAGTTTTTACTAGGATGTAAGAGGTAGCTAAAAAGCTGCATAAGTGTTTAGCACACGATGTTTGAAATTTATTATTTGTCTAGAAAATAATTTCTGATGCTTCATGAATTTTCGTACTTGTTAAAAACTGTTAGATCGTTGCTTAGTCTAAAACTCATGTTTTTTGACTGAACTATGCAATATAGTGATTCCCATATCATTGAAACCAGTTACCCGCATTTAACACGAAAGCAGTTTAGACAAATGCACCGTGAATTCGAAGCGAATCGCTTGCTCCTGACTGCTTATCTCTGCAAACCCTAAGAAAACTACTGAATAACCTTATGATTCAGGTGTGTTTTGTTTAACCAAAATTAGATCCCCTTCGCTAATTGACCCCAGGTGCGACTTCAGATTAAGCCATTTCGAGTAGGCTCCCAACCTTCGACACGTATCACCGACGGTGATGGTCTACACTGCTATACTACAATAGTAAGACTAAACCGGGCTGCCAAATTTGTAAGTCATCTAGACTGTATACAGGAATAATGCATTATGATGCGACTGAACGACACTATATAGGGCCCACGAATAACAACTCAAATAGAGAAGGAAAACTATATAATACTGTATTTCACTGAATTACAGGTAGTCAACCTCAGTGAGTTCGGAGTAGAAATAAATATGGGGACGGAAAATGATATAATTGTTATTCAGTAGGCTGAGAGCCTGTTTGTCATTAATGAGTGGCCAATCACATTCACTCTTACTATCACACGTCTGAATTAAACCGTAGTATCCTTGCTACTACACTTTGCATGAGTTGTAACTGAATATCAATGCGTCTCGTGGATGTTCTGTTGTTTGTTGTGCATGAAATATACTTCACATAAGCCTCAAGTCGTTTATAACAGCAAATTGGTTGCAATCATCTGGTGTTTCACACAACAATACATTGAAATGAAACATAACGGCTGAAATCACTAGCTCAGTTCTGTCGGTTGGCCTATGAGATTAATATATCTATCTGCTAACATTATTTCACCATTCTGCTAACCTTATGATATTTCATATGTCTGGCTGGTATTTTTAATTTATTTCAATACGACAAAGATTTAAGCTCTCTGATGTAGTGTCTGTCTCATTTGATTAAAATGTAATACTAGAACATAATAATTACATAACAATTAATGGACAGTCGAATGCCAATGCCATTGAAAATGTGATCAAATTGCGAAAATGTCTGATTATTGTTTTGATATACTAGTAATATTCTATAGTTCAGTAGTGTCTAGTCAGTTCTGTTATACTTTGACTAATCTTTATTACTACTGTACATGTCATTTGATTTTGCTGCCTATATACTCATTACAAAATACCGATCCTATTTCAATCTGAAGACCGTCTTCCGATCAGATGCACATAGTACTCGGGAATAAGATTCTACAGCGACGAAAGTTTACAGGTTATTATATTAAACGTACGGTTTGTTTACAGTAAATATACATCACTTACAAACGTTTAGGGACTTCACCAAACAATGAATAAACTTCAAAATGTAAAAATGAAGTACATGTACGTCTGTAGAATTTCATTATTGGTTCTGCTATAATAATTGAGCTAACCTTAAAATTGTAGATTTTTCATGATGCGTAAACCTAGTCTATAAGTCACATCATTTCTAATCTGACTTGTTGTTTCTTAACAATCAGCAATATAATGTTTTCAAAGGAAAAGTTGAAGCTGGTGATATAACAATACATTTCATATGAATAAAAAGACAAGATACACAAGAATGACCACACCTGCACGACTGAAATATGACGTACGATTTTATGAATGTTCCTGCGTTTATTATTCTACACCTTCTGTTAGTGTTACATGTTTAAGGTATATTTTTCCAGTTGCCTCATATTAAGCTTTGAGGATTATGCGGTCAGCATTAATACCACCACACGTCCTTCAATGACTTTTGAGTTATACGAAGATGATCGAATGGTTCTGGATGGAACATAGGGAGCTTCTAATTATTGAGGCCCCGTATCTAGTTGCAGAAGATCTTCGATACTTCCAGGCGTAAATATAGGTATGTTTGAATTTACATAGAAAGATATTAGCAAATGGTACTGATGAACTGAACTCTGTTCGTAAAAATATGTCGAAATTTCCCTTAAACGACACCTAAAATGTCCCACGAACAACATCAAACGGCAGTGGATTCCAAAATTCAACTTCATTTATTTATTTATTTCAACACATGAACATTGTTACAAGAAGGCACCAAAAAGATAAGCGACAAATAAATAATTCAACTTTGGTGAGGGCTGGGATACTGCCCGTTTGCCCTAACCGAAGCAGGAGATTTTCCAAAGGCGCCACTCCCCGAGCCTTTGACCTAAATTTCTAATCTTGAATACAGTAGAGTGACGTGCAGTCCCATGATTGATGGCGGCTAACAGTTAGTTCACACGCCATTCGTTTCCTTGGGATCCTGAGGCCCATATGCATCATATGTTTGGAATCACGGTTTTCCAATTTCCTTAGGTGGGTCTTCCATATCCACCAACCCGGTTAAAGCACCCAACATTCGCATTTCGTCCTCTCAATTTCGTAAACAACAGTAATGACGCGAGGAAGGTACTGATTACAACGTCCCTGACAGTGGTTTTATACGTATGGCCATGTGATAGCATTTCAGAGGTAGACCAGAATCTCTCCACTCTCCGCAGTACTAGACCATCTGTGGGCCCAAAATTTAACCCCTCGTAAATTGTAATAGGTGTGCATACAGTTTCTGGTTTGATGTCTATAATTTCTGGGTGTTTACTCCAGAGTTTGTGTTTGGAATGAGCTAAACTATGTATTAAATGGGATGCCTAAGACTGTTTAGGATGCAATAAGTCATTTCGAGGTAACCTATACAACAATGCACAGGGATACGGTGACTTGAAACCCTATTAATCAGTCATGAGTTTGAGCTCATGAACTGATTTCATTGGTCATCTCTGGATACGTTTCAGGCTATTAAAGATTAAGTTAAAAGTTCTACCGTCGAATAAGCCAAAAATGAGCTTCAATATTACCAGTGCAAGGTTTGTTCAAAAGGTATTTTTGTCGCAATTAGTGTAAGACCTCAGATCATATGGTGCCAACAATTCAAGATGATTTACAACTCGGTATATCTCTAGGGGTGAACAGCCTAAGCTATGTGTATATTCTGCAACATGTTTCAGATGAACTACAATACAATCTGAAATGTTAAAATCAAGTCCATTGTTATTCGCTTAATTTTGAATACGTGTCAGATCTTCTTGAAGTGCCAACTCACCAGCTCGGTTTCAAACTTCTCTCC